ATGATGCTCTTTGTCTGCGTTATTGAATTAGTTTGAATGGAGAGAATTATCATGGCATTATTGTCATGGCAAGAAATGAAGGTCATAAGCGAAGATGAAAATAACAGTTGCAAACAATCTATTTGCATCATGAGAAATTAGGAGAGAGAAACTTGAATAGCCATTATTTTAAAAATAATAATATTTAAAAAATAGTTAAACTTTACATTTCATTGAACTAAACGTACATAGAACCATTTAGAACCAAGCATTGGTTATAGGTAAAGTATAGTGAGAAACAACAGCTTCTTAACTGCAACCCTACTGCTTATTCTGGGCCCCTGTCGTCTCTTATAATTACATTTTCATTATAAAAATCTGCTTTAGTTAACTAACTTCAAGTCAAAAAATGTACAAAGTTGGCAGAGTTTCCTCAAGTATTTAATAGGGATGTGTGTACATGCGCACACTCATGTTATAGGTATGTAATGTACATACACATTATATGTATATATCTATGTCTGTATATTGTGTAGAGAGAGACACTGAACTGTATTAGCAAGTAAAGGTTGTTACTGGTTTCTCTGATCCCTTTACTTTTCTGTTTCATTTCTGTTCCCCACTGTACACTCATCTTTTTTCTTTGATAAATGTACTTACACATCTCTTCATCTTTGTTGCCATTAGTCAACCATAATGTGTGCCTGTGTGTTGCACATACTATATGCATGTATTTCTCTGTACTCGTAACCATGAGTGAAGGTCAATCTACTTATTAGGGGATTGCACAATAGGATTGCTCGATACAGCAAATAGGTGATGCTCAGTGATCCTAGGTAGATTTTCCAGTCCCCTTTTCCCATGCTTTGTTTCAACCCTTATATGTTCCTTTAAAAACTTTAGTACTTTCCTAAAAGCACAAGATCAGAAGAAGCCTTCAGACCGACTGAGTCCTGTACTCTGCTATTGTATGCAATAGCCTTATCTCAATTAGTTTTTCTATTTCTGTCCTAGGAATAGTTAGGTCTTTTGCCATGGCTCCTTGGAAGGGGGATTCATATCAGCACTTCCAGTAGCATTAAAAATATAGCATGATTTATTGGGGCGGGAGGAGGCCAGCAGTTGCATAGAATATTCAGTGTTGTATACGCTCAATGGGAGTTATAATGCATTAAATCCTGTGCACCCTGCAGAGATACCCAGTTCACTTGTAGTTTCAGATAAAGGAATGTGGCTCTCCAGGTGTAGCAAATTGTGCTGTAATCAAATATTTGTCATCAACCATTCTCTACTTTTTATTGCTGCCATAGTCTGTCTGCAAGCAGATCTCCATAGCGTATGAGAACATGAATGCTGGAGAAGACCTCTATCTTCAGAGCATATGCCCGCTCTGCAGTAAAATGGATGGAAGATCAGAGATAAAAAAACATTACTCACTGTGACTCACTACAGCATAGCATAGTTTCCTTTCAGTAATAAAATCTATCTAAATTTGGTAAGGAACTCGAGGAACTAATTGCCCTAGATATTCAGTCGGGTTTTTTTTTCTAGATGTTTGTCCCTTGCCTCTCTAGCAGTTAGGTAGCATAAGTTTTAGGGACTACAGAGATAAGATTTCGGTAATGACTGTTGTATAGTATTCTGGATGAAGTACTTCTGCTGTTGGAAGATTGATTAGTATCATATTTTCAGTCATCTCTTTCGAAAACTGTAATGAAATTAGAAATAGCAAAAGCTCTTAGAATGCTTTGGATTTTAGCAGTCTTGTGTTAGAAAATGTGAAAAAATTAATAAAAGTGTCAATAGCACATATTGAATTTAAATCACCAAACCTGGTTTCTTTTGGGAAGAGGTCACATTTACTATAAATCACATATGTGCTACTCCAAAAATGCGGTTACTCAAAATTTCCTGTCTAAGATTTTAATAAATAATAACATTGCCAGCTGCATGATGGTCTTTCTGTGGTAGTGTCTTTCTAAGAAACTTGATGATCTTCCAGGCCAGACACTGATTAGACTTCGTTTTGTTATTTGCAGTAGTGGACCAAAAAGCATTAGAGTGAATGAAAATGGAAATTTTGAAGCATAATTAAGTAATCTTTTTTTAAAAAAATAAATTATTGTTGTTTTTTCAATTAGAGTAGTACAGATATTTCCTTTGCCACAAGACAAGGCCTTTTCCAAATGGAGCATCTGTGAAGATGAGAAGTACGGGGAAGTAACTGAGGTTCATAACCTATAATTTATGTTTACACAACATTTTTAATAGAAAAATGTTATCTATTGTTTCATTCTTGATTAGACTGTAGTAGTGGAAGTGAATGCATGGGTTCATCTCCCAACTGTAAGTTAACAGTATTTTCCCTTTTAATTTTATACATAAGTTTTTTAATGTTGAGAATAACAAATCCTCATATATCCTTAGTTTGTGATTGTTGTGGTTTAACCCAGCAGGCAGCTAAAACAACCACACAGCCGTTTGCTCACTCCCCCACAGTGGGATGGGGGAGAGAGTTGAAAAGGGGTGAGAAAAAAAAAAAGTTAAAACTTGTGGGTTGAGATAAATACAGCTTGACAGGACAGGAAGAGGTGGTGGTGGTGATGATGATGATGATGATGATTATTGAATATACAAAACAAGTGATGCACAGCACAGTTACTCACCATCCAAAGCCGATGCTCAGCTAGTTCTTCAGCCAACTGCCTCCCAGCCCACCCCTCAGTTATATACAGAGCATGATGTCATATGGTATGGAATATCCCTGTGGCCAGCTGGGGTCAGCTGTCCTGGCTGTGTCCCCTCCCAGCTCCTTGGGCACCCCCAACCTTCTCGTTGGCAGGGCAGTGTGAGAAGCTGAAAAGTCCTTGACTGCTTGGCAACAACTAAAAACATCAGTGTGGTATCAACATTATTCTCATCCCAAATCCAAACCACAGCACTACACCAATGGCTAGGAAGAAAATTAACTCTATCCCAGCAGAACCCAGGACAGTGATGAAAATAATTTTTAAAGGTTTTATTTTTTGCTGATTCTGCTGTGTTTGCAGCATTAAAATACTGCAGTCAGTTCTTGTGGAGAGTATCTAGCACCTTTAGGATTAATTAAATTTAATTTCTGAAAATCAAGTTGACAGTTAAAACAGAGCTATTGAAGATGCTGAATGTTCCACTTTTGAAACAAATTTTTCACCATTATGCATTGCATAAAAAAGAAAACGTAAGACCCTGATTCAAAAGCTCATTGAACTTAATGGAAAGCATCCTGTTTAGCAGCAATACTTTGGCCTTTACATTGTACTTAATGTATTAGTCCACGAGTTTCTTGAAGTTTCATTCATGGGCGATCATTTCCTCTATGAGATACCAGCTTAGAAGGTGATTAATGTCTGTGATACAAATTTTTTCTAGAGTAAAGCAAACACAATTTGTGATTTTTATAGTATTTAAAAAAACGACAAACAACAAACCAGCCAAATAATTAGGCAATATACAAAGGCTGTGTGGACCACAAATAGTCCACAGATTACTTTCTTTGGCACACCAACATTTTTGCACTTTCAATACAAGATAAAACAGTTTAGTCCTTCACTACCTGTGTGAAGATGCTAAGTGGGAAGCAGAGAACCATAAAGGCAGAAGTAAAAATGGGTCCCCTGTGAGTTGAAGCTGTTAGTGAAAGCAATGATATCTTTGTGTTTATGGGTTAGCAATAAAATTCCTCTTTGCAGAGAGGTAATTCAAGCTTATGCGTTATTTAAGTGTGCTATCAATGGGGTATGTTTTCATATGCTTTGCATTTTAGCCAACATAAAAGCCAAAAGTAATTTTAATTCTTAGGGCAATACTTCTTTCTTTATCTCTGCTTCATGTTATGAAAAATTAAAAAAAAAATTAAATTGGAAATATTCAAAGCAGCTGTGGAATCAGCACCTGTAGTCAGTTGTTAAATGTAAATGATGGAAGCGTCTTTTAAAATGACCTCATAAAATGATAACATTTACTCTGTGTTTGAAGTTGCATTTCAAATTACAAATTTGCTTCCTTATAAGCATGTAATCAGAAGGCATATAAAATCATTGTCTCATTTTCATTTGTGACTGTGAAGCAGTAAGTTTATTTTGGAAGTTACTAATTTGTATCTAATTGGGATGGAGAGAGGGATGCTCTGGTTAACCTGGTTTACATTCAAATATATCCTTGGGTGTTTTATCAAATCCAAAGAAAAGCCATTTTGTACAGAATTTGAATGAAAAGGTATCTTTAAGTTTTAACAAGATTCCTATTTAGAATAGAAAAGAGACAAATGACGTCAAGGCAACTTGTCACTTTGCCAATAATTTGTATCATTTAGTCAGCTTGTGTGTTGAATCTATAAAATCGTACGCTTGTCTCAAATCTTTGTCAGACAAAACAGGGCAATTTTAAGATAGATAGCAGCACCTTTGATGGTGTTAGTTAAAAAACATGTCACTTGAACTATTAGTTTTATCTTTTGCTCCTGAATTTTCTCCAGCAATATATTCTGTCTGATCTATGAAATGTCCAACATGGGTACTGTCTAAGCATTAAAGGCCTGATTTTCAGTGGTGATAAATACCTTCTACCCTATTAATAGGCATCCTTAGCCTTAGCAGCTCCCAACCTTAAAGGCTGGGATGAAGATTTTTCTGTGTTATCCTTGTGATACATATGGGGGTTTCTTCACTTCTTTTGTAATACTGTTAGACATTACTGGCAAGTACAGTTACCTCATTGTGTTTTTCTTAAGGATGGATGAAATGATGGTTTTGTGCATGGAGTTACATGAAATAGAAAACAAAATTTTGAAAAGTCTGTGCTAGTCTTGTTTAGATGAAAAGGACAGAGTGAAGCTTCTACCAAAGTACAGCTGCTTGTATTAATATATTGGAATATTTTATTTACTGCTCATCCAAAAAAAAGCCATGTGTGATATAATCCATCTAGTGGCATGATATAATTCACCTGACTAGAGGCAGGACTTGTGACTTGGAGTGCAGCTGCAAGGTTATAATCAAGCAGAAGCAAGTGTTTTTCTGCAAAATCTCAATGGGATTCTTCTTAGCTGCTTAACATCAGAGAGGTGGTTTGTCATACTCGTTTCTCCCCATAATCTTCACGTATGCATGAAGAAACAGTTTTCTTGTAGTTGTTTAATTGTTCAAGGGTTGATGCTTCGGGCTGGTGAGCTCCACTCGTGTACACGTTCTGGAGTTCTGACCCTTGACACTCTGAATAAGTGTAGCACTCACTAAATAAGCGTAAGGTCATCCTTCTCCAGCTGTCAGGTTTAGGTTTCAGGTATGCATGTTTATATCCTAATTCTGAAAATGACTGCTGACTTCATTGTGAATGTGGTGGGTCTGTCTACTCAGAGCTCATCTTAGGACTGGTATCTTTAGGAGCATCAGTCCATCTCTGTAAACAGCAAAATATATTTCAGGAAAATGTCTTTCTGTCTCTTTTAGATGGTTGATTATCTGTTTAGATTTACGAAAAAACATCATTAGAGCTGGATGCCCATTTAGTAGTAAAATAACACTCTACTGATTGACTATTTAAAATATGTTTTCTTTGTTTGCATATGCTGAGTCTCAGTAAAGTAACTGGGAGGAATCTCCTTGTGTATGAACATGAGCATCTTGTATATCTGCATGTTTTTGAAATAAAACTAATTTGGAAAAAAGTTTTTAAGAAAAAGTCACTAACAGAAGGTAAATGCTTTTACAGCTAATTTCTACTTCAGGCACTAAGATGACATGTTTTTTTCAGTTCTATACTGAGGTCTTAAGAGATACTGTATTTGTTAAATTGATATTAATTAGAAATGAGAGCACAATTTGGTAGGTTTAGACTTGATTAGATTCTCCAGAAAAGCCCAGATGGCTCTAATGCGGAGGGAAGAGCCTAAAACAGCTTTGTATTCCTTCTGCAGGTAGAAGCAAAGCAACTTTTGTATGAAACTTCTATTTTTTAATAATTTGGGATGCTCAAATTTTTTTCATGTCACTGTTGATATGAGTATTCAAATTCAGTCTGATGCTGGTGCATGCAACTTCATTTGAAGTCAGCAAGAGGCAACAATTTGACGTAGAGTCTGACAGTCTGAGATTACGGTGCGGGAAATCATTTGAAAGGGTGTTGGATGTTCTATACGGGGCCTCCCGTTTGCCGCTCCTGTAATGAAATCCAGTGTACAGTATGTTTTTCTTGAAAGCATGCAATGCCTTCCAAAAATGCCTGACGGTGAGAGATTGTGCGTTTCCTGACAGCCATGACAAAACTATTCCAGCTGCTCTAGAGAGGCGCCTAATGCTGTGCTGAAAATTGCTGTTTTGTACATCTTCAGGATTTAAATGCGGTGATGTTTATTTTGCAGTGATGTTTATTTAAATGCGGTGATGTTTAACTGGTTCTTGTTAAATAGTTGTTAGCACAACATGCAGTTTTGGTAATGCTGTTTTTGTTTGTAATCTTTTAAGGTTGTGCTGGTGAGATGGAACGAACCATTCCAGAAATTAGCAACCTGCGATGCAGATGGAGGAATATTTGTGTGGATACAATATGAAGGCAGATGGTCTGTGGAGCTTGTGAATGATCGGGGGGCACAGGTTGGTATGCTTGTTTTCTCTGCAGTTGAGAGTGATCAAGTCCTGAGAGGCAAAATGAAGAGGACAATGAATGGTCCTTTTTACTTTTTGAAAAGCACAGGAGAAAATGGAACATTTCTTTACTGAAAGGAATATCCAAGAAGTGTCACAAAGACACTTTGCAAGGACAGTTGCTGTATCCAATAGCCGTGACATCAGAGTTACAACTGGGCTAATAGTTGCCCTGTCTAATTCCGTGCAGTGCTAGTTGTTACTAAAACAAGAAAAAATTGCTACGTGGCCCATATATCTCTTTTCTTGTCTTTGGTATGTTAAGGTAAGCGACTTTACATGGAGCCATGATGGAACTCAAGCACTTATCTCCTACAGAGATGGATTTGTGCTGGTCGGTTCAGTCAGTGGACAAAGACACTGGTCTTCGGAAATAAACTTGGAGAGTCAGATCACCTGTGGCATATGGACTCCAGATGACCAACAGGTAATGGAGCTATTAGAGGTATTAATTGTGTTGCTTCGATATGCTATAGAATACACCTCTTAAAAAGTCGTTAAAATAAAATGGTCACTTTGTAACAACAGTTTCCCTCAAAACTGGTGCTCCCACAGATAACGAAAATTTAATTTGTCCTGTCATTCTTATTAGGCAAATATGATAATGTACCAAGTTCACACTGATTCACATGCAGTCTTAGTCAAAGTTTGTTGTTTGAGACAGGAAACTGTAATTATACCCCTAATTTGTTGATACAGCTATCCTGAAAATGAATTTGAGCAGAGATAGAGCCTGGACTAGTAAACATCTGACTGTTCATTTCTGTATACAACTGTCCAGTCTGCACTTGCAGCCAAAGCAGTTCCAGTGACAGAAATGGTTGTGTTTCCCTTCACATGAGCAAATGGATCCAATTGATAGAGCATCAGAGAGACCTCTCAGCCTTATGCAAACAACATAATTTAAAAGAAGGCCATTTTTCCAACCATTGAGTCCAAAACTTGCTGAACTTTGAAAAAGCCAGTTAAAAAATTCTTTGTTACTGTTTTTCTAATGAAGCACCTGATATCAGTCACACCACCATTTATAGCAGGGCTCGAGCTAGCCCACAGGTTTCATTTGCAGAATGTACGAAGGCCCTTTGCCATCCACTGTTGATCTTACTAGAACGGTCTTTCATTCTACATGCTTGCTGTCATTATGGTTAATGTGTGTCTCATATAATACTGAAAGAAATGATGGGTGTAGAACAGGGCAAAGAGAAACTGTGTTATGATCACAACTGGATTCTTTACCTTCCTTCATTTTACACCACCATGAAAAGGTACTGGTTCAACGCTCAAGGTACCACTGACTTTAATTTAGAATACTATAAATCCATACAAGATACAGTTATTTTGGGAATTGCTAGTGGAATATAATACCACTAATAATATGCATTTCTGCAGCAGCTTCTAATAATTTTAGAGTGCTCTGCAAAGAATAATGAATTAATTATTGCAGCACTGCTCTTTAAAGCCAGGGAGTCTAACTGCCTCTTTCTTAATCTGGGGAAATGTAAGTCTTGACAATAAATAATTTACTGAAGATCAAGGGGAGAAGACAAGCTGCAGAAGTAGGAGGGGAAACTAAGATCTAATAGCTCTCGTTCCTATGTTTTAAACATGAGGCTACCCCATTTGTGCGATACTCAGTTGTTGCTGCTGTATTTGGAAATATCTTCACTTGAGTGTTTAATTTGGGGTGACTGACTACCTTCAATTTAGCCAATATGTTTGTACTTTCTAATCTGGATGTTCCATAGTGCTTACTACAGAAAACAAACACTTGTTCAGTGTCCACATAAGCGCATTTGAACATAATGGCCAATTCCATCTGGGTGAAAGTCACTTGCTTGAGTTATGAGACTCTGCTGCTGACAAACTCACTGAAACAGAGACCAAAACCAGCCATGAGCTCGCTGTTGCACTGCACTGTTCTCCTTACTATGGGGTGTGCATGTTAAGTGATGATGGATCTTTGTACTCTTCTCTGGAGCTGGTGGAAGGAAGCAATCCTATAATACGTATTTAGACGTTTTTGTCCTTGGAGGCACAAGGAAATATGATTCACTGAGGTTCTAGGCGAGAGACTATGCTCAGTTCAAACTAAAAATAGAAAATTGGAGGGGAAAGGACATTGTATATATTACACACAAATAAGCACATACGGAAATGGATACCCTTACTAGCTTATCTCCTTATCTAATTTCTCTCCTGATTTCTATCTGTGCAAATGAGAACAAAATATTGTTCTAGTCTAGAGTAGCTTCAGCATCTTCCCTGTTGCCTAATGTAATCTGTTTGTCTGTACAGTGAGTGAAAGATAAATGTCAAAATTTAGATTTATAATTCATACTATTCTTTTCGTCATCCCTCTGGCACCATGAAAATTGCTAATGAAAGTATTCGTGGAAAACGTTACGCTCTATGGTCCCATGACCTTTAACACAATTAACTTGGAAAGTTAAATTTCCAAGGGGGATGTATTGTTAAGTATCAGTTTTCTATTGTCCTGATAAAAATGTGCTCAATACAGCCTGTCTGGTCACCTCATTCTTCAGTTCTCTTAACCTTCTCCCTCAGTCCTCTGCTGCATGCATCCTCCTCTTTTCTTCAAGACTCATTTTCCATCTTTTCCTCCTGTCTGTTCAACACCAGTTGGCTGTCACCTCTGTCACTCCTCACCATGGCTCTGTGACAGCTCTGCAAGAGGAGAGTAATTTCCTACCGCCATCTTTCTGTTGGAGGCAAGAAATGGTTGGAGCTACAGTAGTGCCAGCCATCTTCTTGTTTGACAGAGCGTGTATGGCCTCTGGTTTTAATGTCCTTTCTATGCTGACGTCGGCTTCTAAGTAAAGCACCTGAAGTAGTGGCTCATGCCACCTGTGATTGAAACTCCGTGGTTAATACTTCCCAAAGCCTTTTGAGAGCGTAGAGATGGGATGAGAGCTAGAAAGATGGCCAGGGTACAGTCTTGCAGAAGATGAGCGTATATATTTCTGTCTTTTAACTGATTTGGTATGTGCTTTGACCTGAGGAAGTTATTGGCTGATTTTATTAATACTAGATGCAACTGCGCTGCATTTTCTTTTAGGAAGAGAATGGTGTAATTATTCTTGTGGCTCTGTTGTTTTTAAGGATTTCTTGAGTTCTCCTTGTGTGTTGGGGACAAACTTACTGTGAGTCATAGGACAGTTGATACAATCTAGTTGACTGCAGCACTTTCTCGGTATATGCCGTCAGATGATGCGTCAGACCAGCACTGTTTAACATCTTTGTGACTGGCGCTGTTTAACATCTTTGTCAGCAACATGGAGAGTATCATCGAGTGCACCCTCAGCAAGTTTGTCAATGACACCAAGCTGTGTGGTGTGATCGAAATGCTGGAGGGAAGGGATGCCATCCAGAGGAACCTTGACAGGCTTGAGAGGTGGACCTGTGCGAACTGCATGAAGTTCAGCAAGGCCAAGTGCAGGGTCCTGCACGTGGGTCAGGGCAATCCCAAGCAGGACTGTAGGCTGGGCAGGACTTGGGAGTGTTGGATGAGAAGCTCAACATGAGCCAGCAATATGCGCTTGCAGTCCAGAAAGCCAACCATAGCCTGGGCTGCATCAAAAGAAGCAAGGGAGGTCATTCTCCCCCTCTACTCTGCTCTGGTGAGACCCCACCTGGAGTCCTGTGTCCAGCTCTGGGGTGCCCAATATAAGAAGGACATGGACCTATTGGAGCAAGTCCAGAGGAGGGCCACAAATATGATGAGAGGGCTGGAGCACCTCTCCTGTGAAGACAGGCTGAGAGAGTTGGGGTTGTTTAGCCTGGAGAAGAGAAGGCTCCAGGGAGACCTTACTGCAGCCTGCCAGTACCTGAAGGGGCCTGCAAGAAAGCTGAGAGGGACTGTTTACAATGGCATGTAGTGACAGGACAAGGGATAACGGCTTTAAGCTGAAGGAAGGTAGATTTAGATTAGATATTAGGAAGAAATTCTTTACTGTGAGAGTGATGAGGCATTGGAACAGGTTGCCCGGAGAAGCTGTGGATGCCCCCTCCCTGGCAGTGTTCAAGACCAGGTTGGATGGGACTTTGGGCAATGTGGTCTAGTGGAGGGGCAGGGGGGTTGGAACTAGATGGTCTTTGAGGTCCCTTCTAATCCAAACCATTCTATGATCATCTCATGAAGGTCATTGGCAGATTTTTACTATGGTTCACACCCACGTCTTCAGTCTGAACTTGGAGCTATGGGCTTCTTCAGCTAATTCAATACATAGGCCTTTTGACTGTCATTCTGCATTTGTATTGCAGAGCACTAGAAGTTAATTTTCTCTTCCATTGTGTTTCTGTAGACCTCATTTAGTTGTTTCCTGCTCTTGTACACTATAACCAGAGCACATGTCTGGCCAAGGCACAGAGCCCCATTATACCAATGGCCTCTTGAGGATAATAAGCAAATACACACAATAGGAAGACTTTGCAGGACTGGGTCCTCTGTATCTCGAGCAGAGTGCCACACTTGAGTTAAATTCAGACAGATGGGATCGCTCAGGAGTGTGACCTTCCTTTCTCTTTTTTTAAATGTTTTTTTCAGGGCTACAAGAGGCTGCAGTAGAGCCTACTTCCTCAGGGTCGTGTGGAGTAATTTCTGGTTGTAGGGACGAAAAGTAAATTTGAAAAGAAGAATAAATTTGAAATATTGGAGAGTACCCTTCCTTGAGACAGTTCTGTGGTGTCGTACCACTCTTGTTTGCAAAGAGGGAGTGTACATACCAAGTAGATTGACTTCCCAAGTGAGAAAAACTTGAATTTCTTCTGGCTCATCTAGCCAAAGGGTTTATTTATAATTATAGAAGCAAAGTCAATAAGTAATTGAGGATTTTTCCTAGGCCCACAAGTCATATAAAATATCTTTCCAGCACTTCATCTCCTCTGCTGTGTGCTTGCTCCGCACCTAGTGACGTTTTCCTATCAACTTCTGCTGCCCTCGGGCCATCCTCTCCCTCTGCTTCTCCTAGATTTTACCTATTAAAGAGGTTTATCTCTGTTCATGATGCGAGAAGGGCAGTGTCAGAGAACTGAGTGAGAACTGTAGAGGGGTCTGATTATCCTCGTTTATAGCAATATAGTGTAATTCCCTGAACTTCACTAGGGTTGTTTCTGTTGCTGCTTCTGAGTGTGAGAAGGTAATCAGAAGGAAATCACTCTCCAGTAGAGGGAAGCCTGGATGAAAATGAATGAATATATTTTAATTCCTGCTTATCCCAAGAGGTGCTATTAATCTATTTATTTATTCCCTGCATCTCAGCTGGTGTAAATTATTAGACTTTTCTGACAGCTGTAAGAGCCCATTCCTGTTTTCTCCCCATCCTCTTTCCTGTTGTAAGCTTTTATTTGTGGAAATTCAGGGACTGACCAGGATTGTCTTTGGCCAGGACATGACACAACAGGACGTGT